ACTTAACTGCTACGCCACAGGACCGGCCCCTGTGCTTCTTTAAAGAATGAAAGTAACCTTAGCATTTTTGTAACTTACAGAGTTAAAGATGAGAAATAGAATTAAGGTAAAGAGAAAAGAGGGAATAACTTATGGAAGACACTGGAGGATAGAAGTTGGGTGGAGAGCCAGCCTTCAGGATGGCCCCCAATGACTCTTGCCTCCTGGTATTCATGCTCCTATGAATTTCCCTCCCACAAGGAAAAGGGCTTACCAGTAGGTAACCAAAAACATACTGTGGAAACGATGGAGTGTGACTTCTGAAGCTAGGTCATAAAAGAATTTACAGCTTCCACCTTGCTCTTAACTTACTCTGGGGAAAGGCAGTTGACGTGCTGTGAGGACACGCAAACAGGCTGTGGAGAGTCCCATATGGGGAGGAACTGAGGTGTTCTGCCAACACCCAACGCTGACCTGCCAAACATGTAAGTGAGGCACTTTAGAAGCAAATCCTCCAGCCTCAGTCAAGTCTTCAGAAAACTGCAGCCCTGGCTGACATCTTGACTGCAACCACATGAGACACCCCAAGCCAGGATTACCCAGCTGAGCCACTTCTGAATTGCTTACCCATAGAAACTGTGAGGGTAACACATGTTTATTATTGTTTTAATTCACTATACTTCGGGGAAATTTGTTATGCACTGATAACGAACACACTGGGATATAGTACAAGGATGAGGTTAGCCTTGGAGAAGAAGTATACCTCTGTGATAAAGGAAAAGATAGATGCCGTACAAGTTAAGTCTAGAGATGGAAAAAAAGAAGTTAAGTTAGATGACCAGTATTTTCTTTAGAGAGAACGACTCAAAGCCATATGCTGAAAGTAGGGGTGGCAAGTAGGGACTATAAAGTTGAGAAGAACAATAAAAAGGGTGCAAAGGTCACCAGGTAAATCTGAAAAAGCCAAACAGAAATGAGTGCCTGAGTTAAGAAATCATACATCTGCAGTGGAGTCAGTTGGCATATTTATGGGATTTTCTATCATTCTGCTCAATAACTTAGAAGAAATACAGTAAGAGATGGGGGGTTTCACTTGACTTGGGAATTGGTGAAGTAGGGACAGTAGAACAACAATGGGGTCAAAACTCAGGGTGCTGGTTTAGGTCACTGAAGTGACTGACCATGAAGTCCAAGCCGGTAGACATGGAAATGAGTTCAGGAGGAAACTCACAGCCTGGGAGAAAGAGAGGTTGGGTACAAAATCAACATTTAAGGAAGATGGATGGTTACAGGAGCCAAAAGCAGTAAATCAGAACCCACAAGTCCCAGGTTATGGTCACAGCTCACTACTAACAAGCTGTGTATCCTCGGCAAAGGGTAAAACATATAAAATGCTAAGTGAGAACGGTGGCTTGCCTACAGTAAGCACTCTACAATGATTTTAGCATTTTTTCTCAAATGTTTTAAAATTATATAGTATTTAACACAAACATATGAAGCATAATAAGATGGAACATCAGGAAACCCACCACCCAACTTATTCAACAGAATACTACTAATACATTGTGTTTTTTCCTGATCCCATCCCCCTGGCTTTTCCTCTAGAGATAACCACTATCTTGAATTTTATCATTTTCTTTCCTTTAAAAAAAAATGTCATGTTCCACACTTGTATGGGGCCTGTTTCTTCATATGTAAGATGAAGCTTTGGATTAGGTGCTCTCTGAGCTCCCTTCCAGTCAAATTATGAGATATGAAAGCTGGATATCAAAGTTACATCCTTAGCAGAACCATATCAATGCTTACTTTTCGAGAGGGTTTCATAAAGCTAAAACACTGACTCTTCTGTTGAAATCTCCAATTCAACAAAAGGATATCTCAATGGAGCTTCTAATCTCAAAATCAAGACCTTCCATCACTTTCAATTTGCACCTCTATCAGTTCTACTCTAGAGAAAACCAACACAAGGAGCTAAATAATCTAAGTCCCTGACCCTGTCCAATGAAAACCTGAAACCCAAGCCTGAGGAAATCGAACAGACGAACTGGGAAAGCATACTTTATTTCAGTGACAAGTATTTTAATAAAAATTAAGAGTCATGGTTGGGTTCATATGCAGTTTTTCATACAATCTGGATTTATTTCCTCCATATACACATATATAAGATAAAATAAAACTAAACTTGTCGTCTTCATGTTTCCTCAAAGGCTCTTACACTATTTTAGTTTCATATAAAACAGTCTTCAAATAAACACAAGCGCAAATCGGCTGACCATATGGTTGTTCTCTAGGGCTACTGTCCGGCTTAGGCTGCTGTTCTTCCTAGCTATAAACAGTCTTAGATTTTATATTCATCTCACCACTTACCACCAGTTATAAGAGTTAAGTGAAGTGGACCCACAGAAGTGCTGTATAAAGAGCGAAAGCCCTGTGCATCCACAGGCCACATTTATCAGACCTCAGTACGGCTGGAATAGAAAGTCAGCTGAGACTGTCGGTGTGAGGTCACAGGTTGACGAGTCTTTGGTGGCCTCTAAGTAGGATGTGGATATGTTCCAAACCGTAGCAGTCCCAGGAGGACAGTGATGAAGAGAATGAGCAGTCACTGCAGTGTTTTTCTCATGGAATTTATGGTTTTCCTTATTCTATCCAGTGAACTGGCCCAAGAAAATGAATATTTTCTTAGAGGTCTCTTCTTCCCTAAGCCACTTCTGCTTCGATCATTTAAAATACAGTATGCAAATCACCTTGATTTTTATAACTTGCCTCTTTAAAAATGGTAATAATAAGTATAATGTTATCTCCTCGGTTTCTGCCTACTTTGGAAGCTTGATATGAATTATGAAAAGTATAACTAAAGGACTCTAAAAATGCCATTACAGCTATCTACATTTTGTCTAAGAGACTAATGCAAGCAACTACCATTTTCCCTCACCAAGCAAAGGGTACTGCAGTGCATTATTTGAAATTACATCCAAAGACTCTCCTTGTTTAGCTACCAGGAGAGCTAAACATCATTTATTACCTAGATTTGTTTATTCCTGGTAAGAATATTTGCAAATCACAATGGCACGTCCAGAACCCCTACAGAGAAAGGCAATCTTCCAAAAGAAAATCCTCTCCTTGGGGTAGAGTATGGAAGCCCTGGATAAGATCAACATGCAAGACTCAAAGGGTCTCTGGCCTAAGCTTTTGAAACACCTCTGCATTTAACCTTTAACCATAACATTTGACTTTAACTGAAATTAAGGTAGAATATTCACCTATTTAACTTCCACTGTTAACATTCCCAAGAGAAGGTATCCTCTGAAAAATAAGTTCTCAAAGAGAAGTAAGCTTCTCTTCCCAACTTCTGATAGAAGTAGTAGAGTTAAATAGTCACTTCTTCATTCTAGTTTTTGGGAATCTCCAAAAATGTCCAGCAAACTAAATCTAGACTAGTGAATCCTAGGCCCAATTAAAATCCTAAGCAGTCTCTGAAAGCTCCTGGACCAAATTGGCTGCCTTAATCATTAGTTTCCTAAAGAAATAGCAAATTGTCTATTTTGTGAGCTAACAAAATTAACACAGGTCAGCATTCTCCTATAGTGAGTGCTACTAACACTCCCAAGGTCAGATGTTTTGTGATTCAATTCTTGTAGTCACGAGCAAAGAAGTGTCCTCCTAAGATAACAAAATAAAGTTTTTCAAGAATCATACATGTTAGCCTATCTCGCCACTTTAGCTATTTAAAAAACACAAAGTAACTATTTTCTATTTCATTCCTTTGTTGAGTTGTATTCAAGTAGCTAATTCTTTGCAATGAGACTCGTAAACTAGTAGGAGTTCTGGGTTACAAGTATAGACAGTTTTATTCTGTCATCACCCAAACAAATGAAATTAAAAGCGTTTTGTATTTTCCAGTAATAAGACTATTTTTAAATTAAGTTGTTGTGAGCTGTTGATTGAGACACAAACCAGAATTAGAAGCATAATGGGTGTTTTTTCCCTCCTCAATACATTACTACCCTCTCCAGAAGAAATGGTCTAGTTATTCACTTAAGATCAAATCACACAGCTAGAAGCAGAAATATTGTACTATGGCTTATCTTGAACCTGTTTTTAGAGATTGGAACTAAATAAACAGAGAGCTCTGCTTCCTTAGGAGAGAATTCTGTTTTGTGTAAAACTCGTGGAAGGAGGCATTCCACAAGAGCCCACTCCCTCTTGTCTGTTACTTACAAACAATGCTAGAGACATCATTTTTGGAATTGTCAGTATGCTTCACCCAAGTCCCTATCTATACCAGATCCCAAATCCCTCCCCATGCCAGACAGCTTTAAAACCAAAACAAACCTGAAAACAACCAAACAAAAAAAATCCAAAGAAACAAAACACTGGTCTGGGGAAATTATGAAGTATCCTTGGAAGGGCCAACAAGCTGCTAGGATAGCCAGAGGCTTTGGTGTTTCAGAAATCTAATTTATTATATACACATTCCAGGGCAGTCAACAGGGTCCTCAGACATTCAAGCTTTGAAGCGTAAATCAAATTTCACACATAGGTGGAAAGTCTCTCTCTTCTCCACATGTACATTGGTTCATCCCTTTCATCCAATCTTCACTCCTACATAATCCACACCTAGTCTGACAGCTAGTACAATTTCTAGCTGGAATGTGGAAGAAAGAAAAGAAATAAAAGAAAGCTACCCTAGGTTGGAAATATTTAGGGAGCAAGAGGTACTAAAGATTCTAAATAAGAATGGGGTATTTTGCTATATAAATGCTATCAACATCTTGGAGACTGGGAAAACAGATGCACTGATCAGAAAAGGCCCACTCTTAAGGAATATATTCCTATATTCCTCTAAAAAGAATTTGGTCCATGTGTGTCAAAGAACACAAATACAGTTTCTTTTTCCGACCCAAGTTTCTTGCCTGCTTCAGCTGGATCCTTTAGGATAACTTTAAATGATTATGTTTCACTAATGCAGAATGGGATGTGATTTCTGATCTTGGGGCTGTAAGCACTTAACCAAACTATCAAGCTATCTACATCAATGGTTTATTTGAAACAGTTCTTCTGAGTATGAAGGTTCTTTCTTGCATCAAATGAGTGAGGACTCTAAGGGAGGAGGAAAAAAAAGTACTTGTCAGTTTGAAAGTAACAGGCAGTTTATCTTTCTATAATTAGATTAGGAGAAAAAAAAAAATGAAGAACCCACTGGTAGCAGGAAGAAGCAAGAGTCTTCTAAGGTCTGGCATCTACAAGGAAATGAAAAAAAAAAAAAAAAAGAGTTCTTAGTTCCTTTCTATGACAAAACCACCAACTATATCTGACAATGGGCCACACAACCACAACCCAATTAAAATCTCTTGGTCTGCAGGAGGAATCTACTGCTGTTAATGGCAGAACACCAAGTACCTTCTGACCTTTAGCTCTTTAGTACCACTAAGCACACAGAAACTTGTTAATTGAATTAAAAACATTCTATACAGAGATCAATGTACATTCCTTGTGTCAACAGTTTCACAAGTGAGGAGAAAATCAGAATTGACTATCCAGGTAATTGACTCCTCCAGACAATTCTGGATTAATTCCAATTAACTTACATTGATCTTTTTCTCTTCTTATATACTCTATCTACTCAGTAACTCAATATTTTTTGAGCTGTTATAATGTACATTAGGGGAACAAAAATATGATATCTGCTTTTGAGGCACTTATCTAGTAACAAGTGAGTTGTTGATAAAAACAAATGGGATAAAGCATATTAAGTGCAAGGTGAGCAACCCTTTTCATATATGTGCATTCAAAAAAATCTGCACCCACACTTAAGTTCCTTAAGGGAATAAGCCATGTCTTCTATTTCTTTTGTATCCTTCCAAAGAAGCTAGAGAATTCTGCAACAACAGGCATTCAAAAAATGATGCTTTATTTTTATTAAGAGGACAAGAAGGTCTGTGGCTGTTTAAGGATTCTTACCTGACCTAGGATCATATTTTTCCCTGATTCCTCAGGGGTTACACAGAAAAACAACTTTTCAGCATGTAAAGAGTTTAACAGCAAAGAGTTAAGTTCCAAAGGAGAGAACTGTCTAGTCTTAAATGACAGATAGAAGTTTCTCCTAGGCTTTCACCTTAGAGTAGCCATTTTTACTAGGTAGCTATCTACGCTGTATGAGCACCAAGCATGTTGTGCAGTGTCCGAGAAGGATTCAAAGGTCACCATTTATCCAGGTCTGTGTGTACTTTCCTGACACACCCCAGTGCTGTTGTGTCTGTTTCTCTTCTGGGGCGAAATCCAATTTTCTGGCTTCCAGATTTATTTAACAATTTGATGTCAGAACCTACCAAGAAAAATGGTGGTACCTAGAAGCAACTGATAAATATTATGGTCCATAACTAAGGAGTGTTTACTTTTAGAATCTCTTTTCTGCTTCTCACCAGAAGAAACATCAGTTCTGGTACAAAATGAACCCTAACTCACAGAAGATCCATCTGCTTCACTGTCCAGAGAAAGTGAATGGACTGGAAGGCAATAGGCCAATTACTCATTCATTCCATAAATATTCACTGCGGGCCTACTATCTGCAAGACAGTGGGGATATAATCCCAATCCCAGCCTAATAATATTTCTCTTGCCAGGAGCAATGCGGCTGGGTCACCTCAGCCAGGACAGCATTTGAAGCATCAAACTTGGCTCTGCTATGGGTACATATGGTAACCTTAGGGAAAGGCTTCACCTGTGAGAAGTAAAAGATTTTGGTCTCTTCATACAGATTTTGTGAGGTTCTGCTAAATCAAATATTCAGATAAACAGTGCAAGACTCCTAGAGACCCAAAACTTTTGAGTGCTCATTAAAAAGAGTATGAATTTTTTGATAAGTGTTAAACTGTACTGCACAGGGAAAGAATTGCAGAGCAGTGAAGCACAGCTGTCTGATTAATCTCAGTCCATTAAAGAGGCGTGATAGATCTAGAATGCAACTTTGATAAAAAAAAAAAAAAAAGAAAGAAAAAGGAAAAAGGCAATGTGTACTAACGTTAGGGAATGCAACTTGGCATCTTAACAGAATTCTAATTTAACCAGTAAATGCCTATTCATTAGCGTGTGAAGCCGTAATAGAGGCTATCTACTTAAAACACACAGGCACACATGAAGTTTTAATTTGGTACCATACTCTGAAAGAAAATTGGACCCAAATTGCTTTATGTCCAGTTAAATCTTGCTACCATCTGAAAAGACAGTGAAATAAAACTGAAACACTTACTTGATGAGATAGATATTCAGTTACTGTGCATTTCCATCTATGGAGTAGAAATATTTCAAAATAAATACACCACGTCAATTGAAATTCACGCCATCCTCTATTCTTACTAAACACAAAGGACTTATTCCCGGGGTATATTGAATTACAACATAAAAGTAGAAGAATTTAAAATTAGTATTGGATTCTACTCAAAAGCATGGGGAAAGAAAATCGTCCTCTACCTATCAAGCCTTTTGGCATATGATTTGGTGATCTCAGTTTTTGGAAAATGCAAGTATCCAAAAGGAAATGTTTTAAAGGGTATCCTCTAGCCACCTAAAAATTAGCTCAAATAGTAGCAAAGCCAGAAATCAAGGGAATTTGAATTTGGGGGCAACATTAGGAAAAGAAAGTTTGTATTAAATAAAAATGACAATATCTTGGGTGTTCCATATGTGGGACTTTCCTTACCAGGGTGGTATGGTATGAATTTAGTACCTGTTCACTCAGCATGGCCGCTGATGTCTAGGGAAGACATCTGAATACCATTCTTATGCTGGTACTTATGACTTATTACTTGCATTTTTCTCTTCACCCATTTCCTTTTAAGCCCCTGAAATCCAATTTCTAATCCCAATTCCCTATTCATATTATGCCTTGAAAGTCAAGGATGACTTTCTTCTAGCCAAAATCAACAGCCTTTTTATTGGTTCCCAAATTTACCCATGGTATTTGATGTCAGCGGTCACCATCTTGAAAATATTCTTTTGGCTTCTGTGATCTTGTACTTTCCTGTTCATAATTTCCTGTTACTAACCAAGGCCAGGACTAGGGTGAAGTGAGTGAGGTGCTTAGGGTGCAAAACTGAAGGAGGCACTCACTCTCAGAGTTATTTGAGTGCAAGGTGTTCAGAATGAACATGGTGTTGAATAATTAAGGTCAACAGTATTTAGCACAATGAAAAGAGTAAAAGCATTTTGCCTCTATTTCACTTACTGTTTTTCCATGGCAGAACATACGGCAGAGACTTGGGAACGCGCATGCCTGAAGCCAGGTTACTCTTATGTTCCATAACTATGTTGCTTGCAGGGCTGCAAAAAGAAAGATGGATTGACTATGCCAGCATATCTGTATTCTTCAGGCAGGCACATACAAGACAATCAAAATGTGTTTTTCCTAATTTGGGGGAAAACAACAACCTACATTCTGAAATGTAAACACATTTCCATCAAAACATTCTTGCAATTAGAATGATTACCACTTTTCTGGAAGGCTTACTGTTCTGTACAGGCATTATGATAGGTCTAACCATTTTCATTTTACAGAAATTGAGATAAACAGCAATGCCATCTACTGTTCAGTTGTGTGACAGGCTCATCAACTCACTCAATAAATGTAAGAGATAAAATAAAACGCCAAGACAACCAAACCAAAGGCAACAAATCTCATAGAACTGAGGTAAAATTACAATTATACCAATGGAATTCATTGTTAAGGATTTCTATCTTAGTGCACACTCAAAAAGATATATTTACTCACTGACCTCAGGAGCTAAGAAATAAAAATGGACAAGAATTCTATTCGGGGAAAAATAAAGTCTAGCACCTCATTCCTTCATTTTCTAACCCAGAAATATTCTCATTTGGGTTTGAAACTTCGTCTTCCAAGGTTTCAAGATCAAGTAGTAATGAGAAATCTTATAGATTTACATTAGATACAAAATCAGTGGGAAGAGGCGCATTTTTTCCCCTACCCAATAGGTACTCTGGATTTCCCAATATCAAATCAAGAACTTTGAAGATTACTTTTTCCTTAGACACTAGTTACCTAGAGTAAAAATGTAAACTAGTAAAAACTAGTTACCATGTGGTTAAGCTGGAGAATTTTTTCAAAGCATTAAAATAATGTGAGCCTAACAAAAAACCCAAGTAAGACATTAGAATGCCTGGTGCCACTGTCTCCCTTGCTAGACTATAAGCTAGCATTTTTGTGTTCCCACGGTGGTTAACACAAAGCATGTGACCGTTTTATGAATCAAGGAGTAAATAAGGAAAAAAACCCACCAAAACAATATCTAGCCTAAGTTACCAGCAAGTAACATCAAGAACAGAGGCCAATTCATGCCTTGGTGGCTTCTTTTGGTAACATAGCACTTTGATTTTGGGAGACAGTGCTGGGAATGAGACCTGTTTATTTACCTGTTGTTGCCACAGTAGTTGGTTGTGCCCCAGACAAATGGGGTGCTGGTCTGTTCCCACAAATCTGCCAAAGAAAGCAAAATAGAGTTTGTGGTACTACCAGGTAAGACACCTGTTCATGCTAGTTGAATTTGTAAAGATGGGAAATAATACACCCAAGTTTAGAGAAGCAAGTAAAAATTGATCAAGCACCCTGCCTAACTGACACAGTAGCAGGAATTTAATTGAAGGTTATAAACACAAGCAACATAAATAATAATAAACGTGTCTAGTAACAACCCAACACAGACGGTACAACACAATTTATGGAAAAAAACAGATGTAAAGAAGTGCTTTTTCCAATCAAGAGAGATAGGCTGTTCCATGTGTCTGCACAGCACTACAAATGTGCTCGTTTTGGGGCCCAATAAAAATAAGGTGTTCCCAACAATGTGATATGTTCATAAAAAAGGAAAATCTTCCTTCTGTCTAAAGCAAATGACTTGAGGTTTAGACAGCGTGAAGGGAAAGATGTAGAGGCACTTCACCTTTATCCCAGTCTTCATCACAAGGAGGGCACTGCCATGTGCTCTCAGCCAGAGTCTCTTGTCCAAGGTTCCTGGTTTGGTTGACTACAAGACAACAGAGATTCTGATGTAAGAAGGAGACATTGCCAAGTTATTATGTTTAAAGGGGTTAGTGACTTAAAAGGTTGCAGGGTATCCTAATGGGTTTTTGTTTCTGAAAAATGGATGGTATGAAAGCTAAACAGAGAGGTCTTATCGCCGTGCTGACAGAAGACAAGCAAGAGAAGCAGAAATAAAGATGTTTACCACATCTATGGCAATAAAAGGATTTTTATTTTTAGATGAATTATTAGTAAAACGAATCAGGTTGTTCAGAAGAGAAAGCAGTTTGACAAACACAACTTGACAACCTTTTGCTGGTGAGACAAAAATCTCAAAAGCAGAAAAATATTGTTTTGAAATGATGAAAGCCAAAAATCAAGGTGGCAATTTAGCAAAATGCAAATGTGAAGGAGCGAACCCCAAGCACTGAAACATTTTAGCTAGTCAGTCAGTCTTACCAACATCTTGCTCAATACAACTTTTGTCGTCACAGCTTGAAATATGATGACTGATTTCAGCCCGAGGAACCTGGTGGCGAGCGTTGAAGGGACAAGTAGCCAACTTGTTGGCGACATCAGGATGATTCTGTGGAACAAAAATTAAGGGGTCTGTCAGTTCTTTGGATCTCTTAAAGTCCAATGGAGGCGGCTCAGCCTTATTCTATAAATGGTTCCTCTAAAATCTCTTAATCAACTTGTGGCTTAACTATGGTAGGTAAATTCATAGGAGAAAATTAAGAGGGATTATTTATCCCTCATACAGAGCATATTGATGTTACCTCCAAATCATCAGAATGTAAATCTCTTTGTTGTGACTGTAGAGACTGACAACACATACTGTGGTGAAAGTGGCTTATATGGAAGTAAACAGTCAATGTAGGATTGAGTATTTGAGCCAAATCTTCTCCCCGTTTATTTCTCAGGGTCATAAGATTCAGGTGGCACAACCTGTAATGGTAGAGCTCTCTGGATGTCTTTGAAAGCTGATATTCAGGATGAATAGTAACATTAAAACCCACTCTTAGTCTGCATTGCAGTAGTGGCTCTGCTATTACAACACAGTAAGCGCTAGAAAATAGCTGCTGGAAGGGAGCCTCAGAAGAGGGAAACCAGTGATTTTTCAGATTAACACAGGAACCCTTATTTAGACTAATGATGCCTGAAATGAGGCTTTGAACAATTTGACCTTTATTTCAGCTATTTCACTAAGGAAAAGCCCAAATGATAGAGTCTACTCTGCTGACCAAGTTCCTTATCTTAAAACAAAACAAGAGGGCCGGCCCCGTGGCTTAGCGGTTAAGTGCGTGCGCTCCGCTGCTGGCAGCCCGGGTTTGGATCCTGGGCGCGCACCAACGCACCGCTTCTCCAGCCACGCTGAGGCCGCGTCCCACATACAGCAACTAGAGGGACGTGCAGCTATGACATACAACTATCTACTGGGGCTTTGGGGGGAAAAAAAATAAATAAAATTATAAAAACAAAAACAAAAACAAACAAAAAAAACAAAACAAGAAACAAAACAAGTGTTGAATATCACCTAAATCCTATGGTAAATATATCTGCAGTTAAGAAATTTATTTATTAGGGGAAGCAATAGATATATCACAAATGATACTCAAAAAAAGTAAAAATAATGTGAAGTGGGGAGAAGGCTGGAAAAAATAGAGGATGAAGAAAATTGTGAGGGCAATTATCTCCATGATTTTCATAAGAGATATCAGGCATTCCATTGCAAAAGTTTTGTAGCCAAAGATTAGAGCATTAGAAGTGGGGAGTTATGAGAATATCTTTCTACTGCTTGGCTCCTTTCCCAACCTTTATCCTTGGGACATGTTTGAGAGCCTAGGGGAGAAAGTTGTGGTGGCATCTGCTGGTCCATACTGTCCAGGTTCAACCTTAAAGGATCCTTCCCTAGAGATTAAGAGCTAGAGAAATAATCAACAATGGCATTATAATTGTGTCTCCAGGATTGCAAGAGAAACACCGTTTAAAGGATGTTAATGCATACATGAATTGTATGCAGTTTGGATTAAATACCAAAATTGTTTTCCAAGCATAAATCCTGGCAGAACTTTGGCCTCTGTTTCTGAATCTGTATTCTAACAATCTTTTCAAGGTGCCTCAATTAATATACCAGCATTAAAGTAGTTTACATCAGCAAAGTCTACAAAAGAGTGACCATAGGAAAAAAAACTCTGATGAATTGTTTTTTCCCCCCAAAGATGCTTACTGTTGAAGCTTGGAGAAAGTTATTTTTAGGAATAATCTTTTCTTGGGCTAACCTCTAGCTGTTCAACTTGTCTAAAATTTTTAAACCAAAAAATCAGGGCCGGCCCCCCTGGCTTAGTGGTTAAGTGCGTGCACTCTGCTGCTGGCAGCCGGGGTTTGGATCCCGGGCGTGCACCAAGGAACCGCTTCTCCGGCCATGCTGAGGCCGTGTCCCACATACAGCAACTAGAAGGATGTGCAGCTATGACATACAACTATCTACTGGGGCTTTGGGGGAA